GACTGGAAATTGGGGATTTCAATTCAATTTTTTTCAATTCTTTGTTGGGAGTCCGGAGTCGGGGACGTGCGTGGATGCTTTCCAATTAGGATTCTTGGTATTGTAATGGATTGGTTATGCTTCTATCATATAATTATTTGGCCCACTTCCTTTTTTTTAGTAACATTTAGTAACGGACCGCTGAAAAGATTGGGGCGACCACTTTGGTTCCCCTGAATTCAAATAAACGAAAAAAAGAATAGAAATAAAGTAAAACTTATCTCTTCCCTAAACCATCACTCTCACCCATCTCAATCCTCCTGCTTACAACAGCCCTCTCTACACCACCGCAATCGGCTCCCCCAACCCCAAAGCCATCCAACATCCTCCGTTGTAAACAAAAAGACAGCATAAAAATAGCGCATCATGAACTTTGTAAAATAAATCATATTGATATTATAAATGTTTTATTGACGTGTAAACTTTTTTATGTTGTTTAATTATTAATTTATTACATTATCTTTGCTCATTTTTTGCTATCACAACGTAGGTCCAAGGGAAAAGCCAGGGATTTACAACGTGGGAGCTATAAATATTTTTTTAAGCGAAATTCGAAAGTGAGAAAATTTATTCATTTAAGAGCTAAAACATGCCTAGTGCTGTAAACGCATTTATGCATTATCTCCCCCATAATAAGGACTAAAGCAACCTTAAAAGCAACATAACATCCCCAACAGCGAGTATGAAATAAATTGGGAACCACCTACTCTCCAACTGCTCATAACAATCCGATAAAGTAGATAGGCCAACACTCCCAACTCTCATTACAAAAATCCACAGCTCAACTTAAATTCAACATGAAATTCATTTTTGGTTTATATTACCAAACCTAATCAAAATGCAATTCAAAAGCTAATATAAACATAAATATACAATTCATCAATAACCAACAATAATGCACAAATTGCAACAACGGATAAATGCAGGGGCGAAACCACCTGGGTCTAGTGAGGGTGCCTCCACTGGATTTTGGTCCTGGGTATTTCACCTATTACACTTGGCGGACGGCCAATTTTTCAAGCAAAGAGAAGACCAAAAACAAACTCATCAAAAATTCAAGAGAAAGGTTTTCCAAAAAATCACTGTTGGTAGAGGAGGATTACCATAAATAATCAACAATTTGGGAAAATGAAACGATTCGACATGTAAAGCCCGTCTTTACACTA